GGACTCGAACCCTTATCTGAATACCTGGGAGCGCCATTGAGTTCAATATCGATACCGACTACCTAGGCTAAACCGCTGACGATAAGCTGCTGACAGATAGATGCATTGTAGCGTAGAAAGAGTAGTGTGCATAATGGGTGTCCGTAGTGCAACAGGTTAGAGCACACGCTCTCGGATAGGGTGAGATGTTGGTTCGAGTCCCAGCTGACGCAAAAGTTTCCAACGTCACTCTACGTCCGTGAGTTATATCTGTTACCATCATACCACCGCTAGAAGCGCTCCAGTATGATATAAAACGGCTATATAGTTCACTAAGAGCAAAGCATTCGCAGAACACATGCGGTGTCCGAGGAAGAAAAGGGTGTTACACTCTCGAAAATCACGGAGGCAAAGTGACACCGATCGGAGGAAGCTTGAGGCGACTACTGACGTCTATATTGTCTATCACTCTCTCTGACCAACTGTAAAACACGCAATTTCTTGGCCATGCATACGCCCCTCCCCCCATGACGAATAGAAGAACTGGTCTGGTTTTAAACATAACAGACGATAACATCCACCATACGATAGCATTCGAATAGACCTCGAATTATGAACTCTATCAACTTACAGAACAGAGTAAAAGTTTGAAGCTTTAGAGATTTTGGAGCCGATCAATCCCGCGTCATGCATTCGATTCCATTCGTCGTATTGTCTGAGGTGTCTGAATGCATATCTGACCTTTCAATGACTCACGATAATCCACAGATATATCAAATCAGTGTTGCTGCCCATCCTAGACGAGTCTAGCACCAACTAGTGAGATCCCGTAGTGGAAAGCTTGGTGAGCCTTGGGCGCGAACCATCGACCCTCGATTGTTCAACTACGTGAGGTCATAGAGCATTTTTGAAACCAGTGCGCCAAACGTGCTATACAGAAGAAGAGGTGTTAATGAATTGGAAACTGGCTTTCCTTGAACTCTGATTTCACCAATCAATCACACATCCCTTATTGATCAAGACAACAACATGAAATTGTGAGGAAAGAATTCATTCGCCTGACGTTTCGACGTCTTCGTCTTCTTCAATCGACTCGAATCATCGACTCTGAAGAGGACGAAACCGAAAAGGACCGATAAACGTACGAACGTTACCCGAAGAAATTTCTTCTTGATCGATTTTGCGCTTTGGCTTGATGAACAACGAATATATTAGGTCGTTCCACAAGTTTCGGCACTAGAGCAATGAAACACCAAGTTTATAAACCAGAAGTATTTTACAACTGCATGATTTTGATAATATACCTTTATTTCGAGTGCTTTATTAAGACACACGCTCAAATTTCAATAAAGCCTTTCATTATTGTCTGAGCCAACTTGTCATGTGGTACTGGTAAGGGCTCTTGTACAGCCCGATACACGTGTTTCCCTGTAAGGAAGAAATAAAGGAAAATTCTCCTGTAAGGACGAAACACGTGTATCGGGCTGTACAAGAGCCCTTAGCAGACCACATGACAAGTTGGCTCAGATAATAATAAAAGGATTTTGATATTGTTCAACTGCGCACTTTCTTGCGAACATTTTGTCATACAATTACTTATATTTCCTTAGAGATGGAGCTGTCGTGGAAGCAAATTCGCTAGCCACTCATGCACGAATAGCGCGTAGGGGAAAATGCTGGTGAAGCAGCGCGCAAGATCAGTGGAGCTTCCGTGGACGGCCCGAACGCGACTGATCCTCGAGACTGTTCTCTCCAGCTTTGAACTTCGCGAAACCACTTCCTAGCCGTCCTTTCCACAACCGTATCATCGTCCCAAGCTCCATTAATCTTGCACGCCGCGTCACTAGCATTTTCCCCAACGCGCTATTCCGTGCATGAGTAACAAGCGAATTCGTTCCCACGACAGCTCCATCTCAAGCGAGTATACACAAGGTGTATATCAAGATGTTCGCAAGAAAAACAGCAATTGAACGTAAACTAAAATCATTCAATTTCAGTTCCATCTGGTTGATCAAATTGATGTTTATTCCTCTAGTGGACAAACCTTATAAAACGGCCTGATATTACAGAAGAGACTGCCTTACTGTATCAATAGTATACAGAGTATAGAAGCTAGCCGAATGGCATGTGCTACTGGCGAATGTGAAAGTCGAAACGTACGTCTAGCACTTATAGCATTTGAGTTGCCATACTAGGTCACTGAAAAGTTTACGACAATTTCATCACAGTACAGAGTTTTCATAGGGGTTGATAACCGCATATATAACCTCCAAGGTGATAGATAGGTAGGGCAAAATCGACGTGGGTGGCCAAATTCCAGTATGTGCTCCTCAACGTCTGTGACAAATCGAGTTTACACAGTGTGAACGTTGTTCTCTAAGTACTCACGATGTGATTCTAAAGGAGTTCAACTAGTATCTATGAATCTGGACAGTACGGTAATCGACAAAAGCCGCTTGCATTTGCCAGCGCTGATGATACGTCCAAAAAAAGGTTCTAAAATGATGTTCAATGAGATACTGACACCCTCGACAACCACGTCGAAATCTTGCGCAACGTGATTTAAAAACGAGTCATGTGGTTGGCAAGGGGCTAAGACAAGATGCTAACATCACAACGTCAAAGTACGGACTTCTGTTGATCAAAATAGACCAAGCTGCGACTCCTAAAAAATGTTATTCTGAGTAAAAAAACAGATCAACCTCGCTTGAGACACCCAAAAGATCCAACATGGCATCCGCTTCGACCAGCAGCCTATCTAAACATTGAGATATCCGCCGTTTTTGCGACGAATCATTCATATACATTGCGGACAGACTAACCACCAAATCGTTTGGTTATTGACTTGTTAAGAACAAAGCTGATTTTCTGGCAACTAACAGGAAATTCTCGATAATGACAACATCTCAAGAGACCAGTATCTTGTAAAACTACGGAAGAAACTTTTCTCTAGCGGCAAGGCTAATACAGGCTGTTCTATATGCTTTAGCACAAGAGCAATAAACACCAAGTTTATCAACCAGAAGTAATTAAATCTGCATGATTTTGTTATCGTTCACTTGCGCATGTTTCTGTGGATAGTTTGGTATAGAACTTGCCATATACCTGCCTCGAGATGGAGCTCTCGTGGGAACAAATTCGCTTGCTAATCATGCACGAATGGCGCGTGGGAAAAATGATAGTAAAGCGGCGCTCAAGATTAATGGAGCTTGGGGCGATGATACGGCTACAGAAAGGACAGCTAGGAAGTGGTTCGCGAAGTTCAAAACTGGAGAGAACAGCCTGGAGGATCACTGCCGCTCGGGTCGTCCCAAGAAGCTCCCATAGTCATGCGCGCCGTTTCGCTAGCACATTCCCCTATGCGCCATTCCCGAATGGATAGCAAGTGAATTTGAACCAAGATAGCTCGATCTTGAAGCAGTTATAGGCAAGTTGTACACCAAAATTTTCTGAGAAAATGCGCAATCAGCGATACCAAAACCATGCAATTTTAAATACTTCTAGTTGAAAAAATTTAGGTGTTAATTGCCCTGCTGCCAAAACTTATGTGACAAGGGAATAAACATTTCTTTATTCGTGAATTAACGTAGAATTTTACAAAAACAGTCAACGACGCTAGCTCTATAAGGAACGAAACGGATCTTATCGAAGGGCGAAATTGCTAAAACGTCAACGCCCGATGTCGAACACAAAGGAACAAAAGAACCTGTGCAGAACAGGCAAGACCTATGCGAACAAAGACCTGTGCAACAACTTTTCCTCCTCAAGAAGCTTAAGAAATGACTGTCGCAGGTTCAATCCCACCTAAGGTCGAGTTTTCTGCACATCACTACTTAGTTTCACTCCATAGGGAAGTGTTTTATTGGCAACAATAATAAGAATAATAAAGATAGTTGTTAGGGCTACAACTGTAACAATCCAATAAAGGATAATGGTAGTCAGAATTCGTTTTATTTGACTGCCACTTGGAGTGGTATAATGTTATAGTATACCCAATAATGTGGAGTGCTGTGCAAAAAACATTTGCTCCAGCCGGGATTCGAAACCCAGATCCCACTCTTTCCGAAAGCGGGAGAGTGAGATCTGGGTTTGAATCCCGGCTGACGCAAATGTTTTTGCACAGCACTCCACATTATTGGGTATATTGTAATATCATACCACCGCAAGTGGCGGTCATATAAAGAGAATTATATCTTATCATGAGTCTCGTACTTTTATTATATCCAGCAATCGGAAGGGTCTTCGATTTTCGATCAATAAAGTGTTGATTTTTTTCGATCTTACTCAAGATTACCGACAGAGTTCCTCAGGAACGACGTGTTCTATCGTAGGCATATTGATTTTTCATGGTTTACTCGCCAAACAGAGCGTTTCACTCTACTTTCAGCATTCGTTGGATATCTTCAGAAGCTAGCCATTTCCCTGCTGGCCTTGGTTTCTGGAAAGACCCACTTGGGGGGCCGCGTGCTGCCCCGCCTCATTTCCTTTTTTCTCCTTCAGAGTCCTTTCTTTCATTCTTTCCTTTTTCTAGATGTCTATCGCTCGTTAGACTAGCTTGTCTCAGTATTTGCTTTCATTTTATATTGCGATCAATGGGGCGGCCGACTTTCCAACAACTTTGGCATCGATCGATAATTTATCGATTCCTACTTGCGCTGGCGCAAAACCATCAGTAGAAAGAATAAGGAATTTTTTTATGATTCCAGTTGTTTTTACTGTATTTTTTCCAACGTTATTGATGTTTCCAATACACCTCAGAGAATTGAGTGGCAGCTTCAGGCGGGAGTTGAACCCGTATTTTACCTGCACGGATTGGGGCGTGATACCATCACGCCACCGACGCACCGTTTCACCACCGCTCATTCCCTTAGGTATGGGTGAAACGCAGGTTCAACTCCCGCTTGAGGTCGAAATTTTTCCTCAGCACCCAATTCTCTTAGGTGTATTGGATTTATTTCTAGCATGATATTATTGTTGAGACTATCATTACCCAATAATGTGGAGTGCTGTGCAAAAACATTTGCGTCAGCCGGGATTCAAACCCAGATCTCAGATCTCACTCTTTCAGGGAGCGTGTGCAAACCGTTGCACCACCGACGCTAGGTAACAAACACGGTTAGCATACGCTCCCGGAAAGACTGAGATCTGGGTTCGAATCTCGGGTGACGCAAATGTTTTTGCACAGCACTCCACATCATTGGACATGATAAGGTAGTCTAATGACCGACAAGTACTCGAAGTAAACAGAGAGGAAAAATGATGAAAAGAGAAGGAAGAGGAAGAATGATCGATGAGGAACTCCAAAGAGAAGAAATGGAGGGCGGGACCACTCTCAACAGCACATGCAGCTCCCGCAGGACTCTATCAATAATCTTGCGTCAGGTCGAAAAAATCAATAGTTTATTGATCGAAAGTCAGCGACCATTCCAATTTGTGAATAGAATGAAAGCATAACATTCATGACAAGATAGTCTAATGAGCGACAAATATTCGAGAGAAAATGGAAAAGCGAAAGACAAAATGATGAGAAGGGAAAAGAGAGAAAGAGAGAGGAAGAATGATGAAAAGAGAAGAAGAAGAGAAAGAATGATGAAGAGAGAAGAGGAAGGAATAGAAGAGAAGAGAGAGAGAGGAAAGAATGATGGATGAGGAAGCGCGAATGAGGAGGAAGTGGGGCGAGGCCTGCAGCTGAAGTGAATGCCCCGTGACCACCGCTGGCCGTTTAAAATGACGCCCGCCATCGGTTGACATCAGCTGATGGTGATTAGAGGGACGAGCGGCAGAGTGGTAAACAAGCGTTCGAAGCCAACGACGGGCCACCACGTGCCCCGTTCGCTTCGCACCAGCAGCGTTCCAATCGTTGTCTGGATTCTCTCGTTGTTAGCGGGAAAATTACGATGTGCTTCGTACCTTGTGATTGATAACAAACACGCAGGGCGAGGGGGATGCGATACCGCGGGCCCGGAAAATATGGGGGTTTGGAGGAGGGTATGGGTCCCCACATCCATCCAAGGTACACGAGGGATACACGGGGAGGACGTTCCATATTTGAGCTTAAGTAGGGGTATACGTCTCAAGTGGTCACAAATGGATGGCTTATGTGAGGAGCATACGTAAAGGACGAACACTGAAGCATTCCGCACCTCTATTCCTGAATTCTAAAAGGCGACATGATCCACTGATTTCTTGACAGGCATACCCGAGGTAGGTTTGTTTGAACCCCCTCGTTGTTAGGGAAAATTACGGTGTAAAGAGGGGACATATTGAATCTCGGACTGCGAAATATTGGGAGGAGCGGGGTGGGGAGGACGGAGTCGACGTGCATCTCAGGAACCCCGGGGTTATTAAAGGAAGACAGTCACTCCTCAAGCAGGGGTAGGCAGCATTTCTATTCATTACTATTGAGATGGACAGTGTGGCAAAAATGAGAACACGAACATCGATGCATCCCGCAGCTCAATTCTCGGACTCCAATATGCGACATGACCTACTGTTTTCTTTATAAGCAGACCCGAAGTTGTGAATAGCAAGACTTACTACAACATCGGTTGGCATTTCGGCCGTTTGTGCTTGTTCAGAGCTGGGAAGTCGAGCCTTCAGAGCTTCACAATTTCTCTTTCATTCCAGGTTCTGAAGAGGATGGAACCTCCGAAGCATCAGCCAGTTTTGTGGTCGATAAATCTTCGTTAATAACTCTGTATGTCTTCTCATTAAGAAAATAGTGAATTACTAGGTCAATACACAAGTAAATAGAAAGTCCATCCTGGGAATTGAGACACGATTGCAACCGTGAGCAGGATTTTGATGCAGAAATGAAGGCAATATGATTTGATAACGCACTGTAGAGTAGACAGAGTGCCGTGCAAAGCCAGCGTCGGTGGTGCAACGGTTAGTATACGCTACCGGAAAGGCTGTGATCTGGGTTCGAATTCCAGCTGACGTAAACGTTTTTGCTTAGCACTCTACACTATTGGGTATGTTGTAACATTATAACATCGCAAGTGGTGGTCAAATAAATCATTTTGACTGATTGTTGATACCCAATATCTGTCAACATAAGTGGGGTTCAATGTCGAAAGTGACGGCCCCGCCAGACCGTAGACTGTTGGCTGTTGACAGATAACGCATTGTTGCATAGAAAGAGTACTGTCCAAAACGAGCGCCGGTAGTGCAACGGTTAGCATACGCTCCCGGAAAAAGTGAAATCTGGGTTCGAATTCCGGCTGACGCTAACGTTTTGCGCAGCACTCTACACTATTGGGCAACATGATTTGTTATCCAGGATTTTTCCAAATGGCTATGTCCTATCCAATTATTTGCGATGCCACTAATTACGAGACCACAAATTAGGTCATTACCTGCCTAACACTCACCCAACTCCCTTATCATGTCTTTATATTTATCTATTTAAAACAACTCGAATTTGTGATCAATACGGCAGAGTGAGTATGTGATAGCGAGTCCTTATAGAGCTAATCATAGAAGAAGCAACCTAACCTTTGTAACATACAAATGGCCGAAAGACCGAATCGAAAGCGCTGTACGATTTTATGGTGGCGTGCGCTTCGAGAAGTGATCCGATTAGAGATTGAACTTGGTCTGGACCTATTTATGTAAACAAGTTGTAATATCGATTCAGCTGCGAAGAAGTTTATTACGGCGAGATGAGATCAGATATAGTGATGATTCGGCTGGCCAGAGATCGTGATAAATAACCTTCAACGTTGTGCGCTCCAACATAATTGCACTGTGCTACAACATCGTAACGCTTTCGTGACCATCTGCGTTGGCAGGCATTGCAGACCATGCGTATTGATTTCAATGCAGAATCTCTTCGTTGACCACGAAAGTCTAGACCTCAATGCCAGTTAAATTCAAGCGCTCTGAAACACTTTTTCAGTCGCGATCACAAGAAGCAGAAATAGTCGAAACTATTTTCTGATCTATATTTGAAATAGAAATAGTTGAAGTAATGAAGGGCAGATTTCAATGTTTGTGAATAGATAGAAAAATAATTATCGAGTAAACCTTGCAGCATTGACTGGAACTTCATTTGAACCTTTGAAATAGAGTTCATCGATTCGGAATTCCAGAACATCAAGTTAGCACAACATCGGTGCTTACATGGATTCTTCATTGCTCAAAATTTTTCATTTTATCAATAAATGAGTAGGAGAGTTCAAACTAGTAGTAGATGGCATAGTCGAGTGAATGCGAAATCTACCGACCATTAGCAAAATCTTTCATCATCTCTCAGATGTGCAAATCGAAAGAACTTATCTTGATTGTTAGAGTAGTAGTAGTAGTAATAATTGGGCTGACGTTTCAGCTACCCGTCTTTTTCAGAGTCTGGTGTATGTAATGATAGACTATTTGAATGATTCGGAAGATCTTATTTATATACCGCTAGGCCGAGTCAAATGATTAAACGAAGAAAGAGCACGAAGTCTAGTGTGATGTTGACGCATTCGTCCTTCCGGTTCGTTTCGGAGTCTTTACATTAATCCAAAATGCCTCAAGAGTTTTGCGCGTTGTTGTTTCTGATACCTGCGTTGGGATCGTGACAGTTACATCAAAATTATTATTGCTCTGCATTTGTACCCTATGTAAACCTAGCGATATGAAACTCGCGCCAGTGGCCATGCTTGAATGAAACCACCGCCATGAACGACAATCGCGAGAAGAGGAGACGATTGGAAGATGCGCTGGGGTCCGCACTATTCGTAAGATGGACCGTCCAAGTATCCAAGTAAGTATGTAAACCTAGACGCTTGCTTTTATCGCTCTTAGCTTAATATCTGGAAGTTCTCCTATGAGGATGAAGTATTCTATCCATTTTGCTTACATATTGTTGACCATATGTCTTATACATTATCAAATAAATTGTGCCTGATTTCATACAATCGCCTAAGGTGCCTAAAAATATGAGGCATTGAGAATTTTGTGGTAGTTCTTGAACTTCACCTTCCACCCTGCTCCATCAGCTGATCCGCAACAATAGATTTTACGATAGATTGTGTAACACAAAGAACTATACAGTCTGCTACAATCTGCAATACTATACAATCCGTGAAACTGGCTCGCGGAAATAGCCACTTACAATGGATACGAATTTGTAGCCCCTCGGCTTAGGTTTAGAGTAAATAATACGCCTCCGAACGAAAACTCGAATAAAAGGAAAGTCCCGTTCATCCTCCCGTTCTTTCTAAATGAGATTAGTACAGCTATAAAACGTTGTTTGGAAAGAGCAGGTTTAGAGCAATCGGTGACTAATATTGAAATACCATCGAATACTCTAAGACGCCAATTAGTTCGCAACCGCTTATATAACCGTCTCTGTATGATGAAAGATTATAAAATATGTCCTAACGGCAGAGATGGTGATTGCATGAGCGTAAGTACAGTCTACCTAATCTCTTGCAAAGCCAGTAGCGATAAATATATTGGCGGAACGGGTAGGCCGCTCTATACCCGCATAGAAGAACACGTAGCTGACATGCGTCTCAATAGACGTAACACCAAGCCAGGGACGCATAGAAAACAGAAATCCACTGTTATTTCGAAAAGAAGAGTTAGTAAGATCAAAAGAAATTGTCTATCAATACCAGATCTAATGTCTCTACTTTTTATATGCATAGTGATGGCAACGGATCATATGTTGATCACATTGACATTCTAACCAGTCAATACTTCCTATCACAATGATTTTGTAACAAACATGCTACGACATACATATTTTCTTTTGGAAAGTTTTCGAATTAAATTTTCATAAACGGAACACCATCAAAGCATTAGAAGGAAACGGTCAACATCTTATGACAAAATATTATCAAAGTGAAGGATTTTTCAATTTCTTCACTAACATTCGCTCCACAGCACACATTCAGTGAGTCCATGCCTCTTTGTTCGTTCGCTCAAAGGGATGATGGCTATTAACTGTAAACAATCTATTCTAACTATATGAATAAGAAAATAACAGAGTGTGAGATTATTGTGTCTATTTGCTATGTGAGATTATGCACTACCTGCCTTTGGCGATTTTGTAGAAGACGTCTTGACACCGAGTTGAGAGAATCGAAAATGAAACAAGACAATGATGAATCTGCAAATCGAATAGATTGAAATTATCGAATTTCCACTTTGAGAACAGATAAATCTGTGATTCTACTTTTGCTCTATACATGAGATTTTCTTCGTGATAATCTAAATTTTATAATCATAGTCAATGAAAAAGTCGCGCATATTGAAAATTTTAATTGAAAAGGGCGAGAGCGAAGGACAACTAGTTCAGCTTATTAGAAAGACGAACAATTATCAGTGAAATTCATTGAGATTTTTCATTATTTTCCAATCTATTTTGCCTTGCCATTATTCCCTTTTTACAATAACATTTTTCTGAGAAGTCGAAATTCCAAGGGCGTCATGGTCAAGCTGTTGTGATGCTCGTTGCGGGGCGTGGAGCCGAGCTACACCTCCAACATTCTTCGGCGGTCAACAACGATCGCTTTATGGAACGCCACAGTCAGATTATCCACGAAATTGCTAGGAGATTCGCTCAACAAGTATTCTACGAGTTTCAAGAAGAAAACGAAAAAAAAGGATTGAATGCCAGAAGTACTGAGATTCGCACAGCAAAAAAAAAAAAAGAGAAGATGAAACACTATAAAGACAGATCAGTAAAGTAAAGTGTCCAAAATCAACATGCCTATCTTTCCCACTCAATATCCCTATAAAGTAAGTTAAAAGTGTATTAATACCGCACTCACCCATCCAGTGCATGGCACAATTCCCATGAGAATGTCTCCATCAAGAATAATGCCCATTTGTCTGCGAATAGAGGGAGAATACAGCGAAAAGTAATTTGTGGGCTGATAAATATCGCATTCTGGTACATCGTCTGCAATAGATATAAGTGACCCTCTAACGGGTTCAGGCTGAGTCATTCAACAGTTACCCACGCGTCTTACCTGTTTGAATAAGCGCACTTCCATTCGATGCTTTTCTCGTTGTGCGACATCTGAGTGGATAGCGTCGGAATTATGAAAATTCTTCCATTAGAAAGCAGAATTTTTGGTTACCTATCTTCTCAGACGAAAATTGACTTTTCAATAAATGTTGCAGATAAGAATCTGAGATTGTTGATCGCGACGAATTGCCTTGAAATCTTGGAAGTATCCATGAGGTTTTGCTAGACGTACAGTCGATTGACTGGAAGGGACTGTTGATTGAGGAAATTACCGCTGCCTTGCTTATCACCTTGATTCCTGATACGCTTCATCATTGAGCACTACGGTGATTTGGAGAATGTGGGGGTGAAAGTGAGTAATTGGCAATTAAACCTTCTTCGCTTTGCTGATTAATGCGCTCTTGTGATGTCAACTGTGAGCCATGTGAAAAAAATTAGGCCAACATTGACAACGCTTGTGGTAAAACGAGCTTTCGATTAAATTTGAGATGTTTACTCTTATTCACGCTTATCAGAGGATTATCTCTGAATCTGCCGCTATGTTTGCTTGGTAGGAAAATTAACATAATAAATGGTGTAGTTCTAAGGTCGTAAGGTGGGATATGGGGACCTTTTCCAACACATTAGATGTAGCGAAAAAATAGAAACGCGCCTCGCATCCAATTTTTTAACTTCGCAGAACTTCCTGCCCTAGTGTACGTGCCGGAAACCTGGTCGATAGGTAAGCAGAAAGAAAGACATCTCCGTAATAAAGAGGTGCAGTCGACAGGACGTGCTACGAGTATCCCGTAACATGAATGGGGAAAGGAAAAAAGATGTCTCAAGCTACGACAACGATCACAATCAAAGACACTATTGTGCATGCGGAAATGTCGAAATTCAGGTGGACTGGACATGCGATGCATCAGAATGAAAACCGTTGGACAAGAGCCGTTGTTTACTAAATTCCTCGAAATGTCAAATGCGCAGCAGAAGCA